GTTAAATAAATAGTGCATTGAGAAAATCACCCTAACCCCACTTTCTGTTTCTGTGTTGCTCTACTCAAGAGTGACCATGTCTGAAATGGGCTTAGAAAACAGCAATATCTCTGCACCACTGCTAGTGACTGACAGCGTGTAGAGTTGTTGTTTTTAAAAAGTATCCACTGTAGTTTCCCTTTCTGAGAGATGTGTTACATTTGCTGTAATAGCCACTATAACAGTAACAACGTATCTTTTGGGGTCCATTGCTATAAAGGTACTGTAATTAATTTCTTTTTTTAAAGTAGTGTCTCAGGTTCTTTTTGGCAACTGCTAAGAGATACAGCTGCCTGATACCTAGTCAGGTGGACAAAGACTTTTGCCAGCTATCTATCTGCTTGACTTCCAGTCACTTGTGAACTACTAGAAGCTCTGAGATTAGACTATGAAGAAGGACATCTCTGCTTGAAATCTTCCCTTTTCCATGAACTCATCAGCAGTCTGTAAGAAAAACATGTTAGCTTTGCCCTTCTGGTCCACATCCACATCATCATCATCATCATCATCATCATCATCATGTGTGTTGTTGTTGTTCCTCATCTCGATCCATGGGGAGAGATGGGTAGGAAATAAATTTATTATTATTATTATTATTATTATTATTATTATTATTATTATTATTATTATTAATTTCTTACCCACCTCTCCCCATGGATCGAAGTGGGGAACAGATCAACAAATAGACTGTGCAGGATTACTATAATTATTGTGTGTGTAATGCACACTAAGCACATTGATGATGCTGGGCTTAATATAAAATATAGAATCTTAGAATTGGAAGAGCCCACAAGGGCATCCAGTCCAACCCCCTGCCATGCAGAATCAATGCACCCACAAAACATATGGCCATCCAGCCTCTGTTTAAAAACCTCCAAAGAAGGAGACTCTACAACACTCCAAGGAAGTGTGTTCCACTGTCGAAAAACTCTTACTGTCAGGGCATTCCTCCTAATATTGAGATGGAATCTCTTTTCCTGTAAAATTCCATCAA